TAATGACAAAAAGTACAGCAACCAGCCTTAGAGCTGACAATGACACACTGAAGTGTTGGAAAGTTTCTGCCTTTTAGAATCAGCTATTAACAATAAAGGAGTCATAAATCAAGAAATATATCACAACCTAGGATTTGATAGATCAACCATGAAAGCCTTGGAAAATAAATTCAGATACCGTAACATACCTCTATTTGAATAAGGCAATGGTTTTTCTTATGACATTCAATGGAAGCAAAAGTTGGACTGAGTTTTGGTGTTTGAGAAAACTCTTGAGAACACCATGTACAGGCAAGAAAACAAATGAATGGATCTCAGAACAAATCAGTCTGTTTTTACTTGAGACATAAATGACATGCTCAAATTATTGTATTTTGGATATATTATGTGAAGATCCAGCTTCTTTGAAAAGTCTATAATGTTGGAGAAGATGAAAGGAATGAGGTAAAGAGAATGGCTGGCAGCAAGGTGGATGGATTATCTTACAGGGCAGATGGATATCCTGTTGGAGGACCTGAAGCGCCAAGTTGAGACAGATAGTTCTCAAGAGATTCACTCTATGTAATTGCTAGGAGTTAACACTAACCTAATGACACCTGATCTATTAATCAGTCATCCAATGTTATTTATTTGGTAAATGCAATATAGCGGCCCAGCTCATATACTTGACTCGGAACACCATGTAAAGATAAAAATTCAAAATAGTGTAACAAAATAACAAAGTAACAAAACAACAAAAACATTATAAACAATTTAAAAAAACAACCCAATCTCTGGGAGAGTGCACTCAATTTCTTTAGTAATAAAGCCATTTTGTGGGCTATATACCTGTTACCAGATCCTCATGCCAGATGGCAATGCAATGTTTTCAGGCCCTTCTGCGAGGCCAGCAAGGTTAGAGCCAATCTGAGGGAGAATAATGTTCCGAAGGCATGCCATGGCAGAAAAGACTCTCCTTCTGGGTCCCGTCAGATGACACTTGGGGGAGCTTCAAATTGGAGCTGGTTAATTAAGAGCTAATCCCACCTCTCCCCTGTGCCTCTGGCTGCCCCCTTCTTCATCTTGTGTCGGTGATTTTATTCTTTTTGTACTGTGATTTTATTGGGTATATTTATGTATGATGATTTTAATGTCTTTATGTTGTAAGCAGCCCGGAGTAGCTTTGAAATGAGATTGGCAGCAAATAAATTTCATCATAATAATTTTTTTCTGGACAGGAACTGTCACATGCCCTTCCTATTGGATCTGATGGAATGGGTAGATGTGATTGGGGAGAGGTAGACCCTCAAATAATCCAGTCCCATGCCATGTAAGAATTTGTAGGTCATTACTAGCACTCTGAGTTGAACCCAGAAGCAAACTTGCAACCAATGTAGCTCACAAAGCAACATCTGCTGATCTAGATGGGCACCTAGCTGACCACACAGCCACATTTTGCACCAAAATTTTCAAGTGCTCTTCAAGGACAGCCACATATAGAATGTGTTACGGTAATATATTCTGCAAGTGTGCACAGAGTCACAGAATTACCTTTTACAGAAAGCCACGTTAGTAACGATCTGCTTTTTTAGAGGTATAAAAGCATAGCAACTATGAAAATAAATACCTCTTTCCTCTCACAGAAACTGCTCTAAGTGCCTGAACACAAGCAGATTTTGGTTAGAAAAAAGATCCTTATTGAAAATACTCTTCAGAACAAAGGACCGTATGCTTAGCTTTTTATATTTCCAAGAACTTCAACTTACCAATCACTCATGAACATTTGTTGGAGTTCTTCATTAAAGGCACAAGGATGACTTTTTCCAACCATTTTTCTGTCCGCTCCAATTCGAGGAAAAAGTGGTAGCCATGGGAAGAAGGGGTGAAGCCAATACACTAGATTTTGCTGGAAAGCACATCGCAGTTCTGTGGAAAGTTTTGGCTCCTAAATATCAAAGTACAGAACTTATATTTACATTTTTAAAAGGCTATTTTTAAGTTATTTTCAGCCATTCAAAACCCATCAAAGACTGAGATAGACCTGCAAGCCATTAAGTGAATCTTGTAGAAAATATGGTAAGCAAATAAATACAGTATGTGAAATGTCGATTCAACAGTACCTGATTTTAATACAAATTTGGATCACAACTGGAAATGAATTGCAATTGGATTAATGCCCAGTTATCAAAAAAAATATCCAAAGGGTTTATAAGTTGAACATGTTTTAAGAGGAGGAGGATAAGGTTAGTATTCTAGTGCATTTATGTACTATGGCTTATTTGTAATGTTGCTTTGATTTAAAAACAACTTGCTATAACACTAGATTCAATTTGCATAATACATCCTCCTGTCCATCAACTATATTGGATAAAGATGCTGTCCAAGATCACTGTGGATGCACTTTCATTCATACTGTAGTTTTGGAGAAAAGTATAAAGAAGATAATTGGAAAAGGATTTTTAGAAAAAGTCATGTAATAAAACACAGAGAATAGCAGCATTATGATATATTTCCACTTTTTCAAGGAATCAAAAAGCAATTTCTGGTATTCCATTTTAAGTCCACAAATGTTTATAATATATAAAACAAAGTTAACATTTTTAATATTTTTGCACCTTGCCATAATCTGCAAACAACTCTACCTTGGTTTCAATTTACTTATACAGATTAGGATTTATTTAAATAGCTTGTTTGCATTTAAATGCCAATTATCCTGATAAGGGGACATAATAAAATAATTTGGAAGCTTTGCCATTTTTCTTGTAAAGCGGAACAGAAATTTTTAAAAAATCTACAGCTAGTCTACCACAGAACAGAATATGCCGTTTTTATAAAGTTTAACCTTTATGTGGTTTTTGTGATGATGATTCAGAACATTTCTTAGAAGCAGATTTTATATCAAAGATAAAATATCTTACACTGTACCAAAACATATTGGGAGAAGTTAACAATAGTTATTTTCTAAAAGAAAATATAAAGGCAGCAATTATTCATACTTACAGAAGTATTTGTGTGCCTTTTAAAGACACATGAAAATATGACAGACCTTATATTAGCAAAACTAACTTTAGGGAATAATTTATTTAATATATAGAAACTACTATTTAGTTTGTTGTAACCATAATAATTATAAATCAGGAAAAAAGGAGACATAGCAACATAGATTTAATTAAAAGTCTAGCTGACGAAATGGAACCTTAGTGGTTCCCAAAATAAAAAAGTATGTGTGCTGATGCTAACTGTAATTGAATAAAGAGAGAATATTCTGAAAATTTTATTTTCATATAAAATATTTATATATAACATATAACCAGATGGGTGACCTTGGGCCAGTCACACACTCTCAGTCCAATTCAACTCAAAGGGTTGCTATTTTGGGGAACAGAGGGTGGAAAAGTATATTAGGTCAGAGGTCCCCAACCTTTCTGGGTTTGCCGCCCAGAAGGAAAGGGAAAGCGTGCGTGTGAGGCTAACGTCCACACGATACTCACCATGACACTAGTGCGAGGGGGGAGTGAGTGTGCACACACACACACACAGTGGCCAGCCACTCATGTGGCCCAGTGGCCAATAGGCCACGGCCCGGTAGTGAGCCGCAGTCCACAGGTTGGGGGCCCCTGCCTTAAGTTACTTATTAAATAATAAAGATGGCATAAAAATTGAATAAATAAATGTTGGGCTTGCACTATAGGAAAAAGAAGCAGAGTAGGTATTAAGTATCTACGCTATTGTGGATTTTATATGCTTATAAAATAATTTTGAATTTCACTTGGCAACAAACTATCACTTAGTACAGTTCTTTCCAAGCAGTGCAATCTACTCAAAGTAAGTTGTCAGTGAAGATGCAATATTCTACATGGGCTGCATCTTCTGGGCTAACGTACATGTTACACATGGTGACTGTGAAGTTAACAGTATTACTATAAGCTGTATTGTCCAAAAATGCATAGTGAAGAAACGCTTTATCAAATAATCCATTTCTGAGACCACTAAAAAAATGGCTTCTAGAGCAGTGCTATATTGTGTGCTTAAGTTTTCAGAGAGTATGCAGCTTCATCCAAAATAGGTAATCTCTCTAGATCCCAGGTAAACATAATGCAGTATCTTGTCAGGATTCATTTGTGTCCAAATACTCAGATGATACAGAGAAACAGATTTGGTTGTCAACAAGCTACTGATGTGACATGTTGGCTCCGTATCAATATGCAAATAACTACGTATACTATAGATATTAAAAAGAACTAAAGATAGGTTGGAGTCTTGAAGAATTCTATAACTTAATTGCTACAGAGCTGAGCGTTAGTCATTTTGAGAATCGCTGAGCAGGCAAGAGCAGTGTTGTCTGAACCAACAAAGAATACAACACTTTACCAAAAATACTGAGAAATTAGGAGGATCATCCCTTCCCTAAAACAGTTTATCATGGCAAGTAAGGTTTATTTACTCCCATACCCTAGCCTATCCAAATTAAAATAGTTCCCCAATACTTGTTTTTTCCAAGAATTTATAAATCTGCCTGCTGTTAGCATGATTTGAATCCTCCATAAGTGATATTCGTAACTGTCTAAGAAAAAGATATTAGTGATTCCGGGAACTGGCACCATTCGTTGAAACACAGGCATATTTCTGCATGATGTAACATCCTGAATGTCACAGATAACTCAATAAGGACCCTTAAGACATCCCCCTTAGATTCATAGAATACTGAGAAATTTGTTCAACAACATTAAACATGGTACAATTGAGATTTTATTGTTTTGTTCACTAGATAGCTGTAAACATTGAGAAATAGGCAATAGAGGTGAATTAGAAAGATATGACTCCGGTAAGTCTAAAATTTCACAAATTTCTTGATTTATATTGTTAGGTTTTATTCAAGTGGTCAACGTTAAACTTAACTGAGAACATAGCTGACGTCTAAGGTCAAGTAATTAGGTTGTCGTAATTCGTCGTATTGGATGGACATATGAAACCCCATTCAAATAATTACAACGAGATGTTACGACCTATATAGGAACCCTTTCTTCTTGAGCTTTTAAGTGATCTGCCCATGCAAATGATTGAGAAGAAGTGACTAGAAGACGAGTTTTAATACTCCAATCTGCAGGAAATTCAAAACTTGGCGAAGAAAGAACATCAGTATTGGAAATGGCCAAACAAGAGTCCTTAAAAAAATTGAACAAAGTATAAGTAAGCAATGAAATCAATAAAATGCCATCAGTTAGGTGTACAAAGAAGACATCCTACTTTTGCCAACATTAAGCGTTATCATTTTGGTTCTGGATTTATACTAGACATGGGTAATATTGATTTATAAATCTAGATCTAACTGCACAAGGAAAAAATTCTGATTGTAAGAAAACATGCATGGTTGCAAGAGGTCTATTTATATGAAAGATGACTATGTACATACAGTCTGTGCAAAGCAGCACATGGGGATATGCAAATACCCAGAGTAAACAACCCTGCACTCTCGAATTTTAAGTGTTTTCATATTTAGAAATTCTAAAATTAAAAATGATACTTACTTTGATCAGTGTTTCAGCAGTTGCTATTTTAGAAAGCTCTTCTTTACATGTGAACCCATCTTTGCCACGACTTTTTAAAAACTAAAAGAAAAAAAATTAAACCATATATTGCAGTTTGTAACCTATTACCATTGTCTGTATTAAACTTCATAAGAACGTCAAGTTTCAGATTCCTGCCCTGTAGCAAAAAAGTACAAGAAGATATTGGAAGCAGGTGATCACTATAGTGACAATGGCAAAGGCATCTGTGTGAGAGAAGGCAATGATAAACCACCTCTGCATTCTAACCAAGAAAACCACATGGACAGAAAATATAACATGATTGGTGATATACTGCCTGGTGATGGATCCCTTGGAATGAATGGCACTCAACATACTACTGAGAAAGCTGAGGATTTTTCAGAGTACAAATGGTGTTTAAGATGTCCCACAGGCTTAATCTAGCCACACCCAATTGCTGATGTTGCCATACAGCAGTGGTTCTCAACCTTTTTAATGCCGCGACCCCCCAACCGGTCGTAAGTCGAGGACTAAACCGGTCGTAAGTCGAGGACTAAACCAGTCGTACGTCGAGGACTACCCAACCAGTCATAAGTCGAGGACTTTCCCTGCCCGGGAGCACCACGCATGCGTGGTTCCGCCCCCTGCGCCAGCCGAGGCGTAGCTGGCAAGCGGCAGAGACGGAGCAGGCCGACCACCAGCTGGCCCAGCCCAAGGGAGGTAAGGCACCCGCCGGAAAAGGGGGAAAAATGGACAAAAAAAATGGTGGACAGCCTTGCTTGGCGACCCCGTGAAATGGTCGATCGACCCCAAATGGGGTCGCGACCCATAGGTTGAGAACCGCTGCCATACAGGAAAAGAAAATCTGAAGGTGCAAAGGCAGAATTATGGTAGAATGTTGAATATAAGAAGCAGGAACATGGGAAAACTCAGCAAAGTGAAAAATGAAATGACTACAAAATGAAATCTTAGGCATCAGAAAATCAAGATGGGATTGGGATTGGACTTTTCAGTCAGAAGATCACATTTATTAGTCAGGACATACAAAACAAAGAATAGCATTGTTTTTATAGTTAAGGAGGAGACAACAGAAACACTACTTCACTGCAATGCAATCAATTATTGAATATCTGTTAGTTAGAACAACTTTTAGATGATAATCATTCACCTTTATGATCCAACCAGCAATCCAGAAGAGGAGGTAGATGATTTTTATGATCAAGTTTGATTTGAAATCAACAGAACATGCAAGCAAAATGTGCTGCTTGTGACTGAAATGTCAAAACTGGAAATACTAAAGAAGAAAATGTAGTTATATTGGCTTTGGAAACCAAAATGAAGCAGGAGATTGGCTTATCATTTTCTGCCACTCTAGTGAATTCTTCCTAGAATTCTGTCTTCAAACAACTAAATTGACCCCTATACATGGACATTACTAGACAGAGTATGTAGAAATCTCATTGATTATATTATTGCTAAAAGGAGGTAGAGGAGCTCAATTATAACATCAAAGAATTGGAGAGGTGCTGACTGTGGAACAAATCATGAACTTGTCATATGCAAGTTCAAAGTTAACAAAGAAAAAAATCTAGTCAGTTTCTAGTCAGTCTTGAACATATATCCACCATTTTCACCCACAACACCAGGAATTCCTTTGAAGTCTCGAACCTGATTGACAGAAAATTCCAGATGAGCTGTGTAGTGAAATTAAAGAAGTCATTAAAGCTGAATGCGAAGAGACTGACAAAAATAAAGAGAATAAAATAAACTGGTTTCAGAACAAACTGCGGAAATTGCCACAAAGAGAAGCCAAAGTCATGAAAAACAAAAATCTCAGAAAGGACCTTAAGGAGTTTTAGAGAGCTGTTAGAACAAGGGTATCAAACTGCTGGCCCACGGGCCGGTTTCATCATACCGAAGCCGCTCCCACCCCATTGCCGGCAATGCAAAAAGAGTCGCGATACTTCATGACATGTCACATGACGTGGCGAGTTTTACACCCATGTGTTAGAACAGTGGTTCTCAACCTTTTTAATGCTGCGACCCCAACCGGTCGTAAGTCGAGGACTAAACCGGTCGTAAGTCGAGGACTAAACCGGTTGTAAGTCGAGGACTACCCAACCGGTCGTAAGTCGAGGACTTTCCCTGCCCGGGAGCGCCACGCATGCATGGTTCTGCCCCCTGCGCCGGCCGAGGCGTAGCTGGCAAGCGGCAGAGACGGAGCAGGCCGACCACCAGCTGGCCCAGCCCAAGGGAGGTAAGGCAACCGCCGGAAAAGGGGGAAAAAAATGGCGGACAAAAAAAATGGCAGACAGCCTTGCTTGGCGACCCCCATGAAATGGTCGATCGACCCCAAATGGGGTCCCGACCCACAGGTTGAGAACTACTGTGTTAGAAGATACAAGAAGCAGTATTACAACATCTGTACAGATACTGAAGAGGGAAACAGATGTGGAGAAACAAGGACAGTTTTTCAAAAGATCTCTGAATTCAGTAGTTCCAATCTTGAATTGGTAGGCTAAAAGACTCCAATGGACAGATAGTTATCAATTCAAAGGAGATCAAACTAAATAAGAAATGTATATTAAAACATTGTACAGTAGAACTGTCAACATTCAAGATACCTTAGAAGATATTTCCTACTTATAATCTCTATTACTAGATGAAGTTAGATCAGCACTCCATTCATTACCACATCAGAAGGCTACAAGAACTGATAGAATACCTACTGAAATAGATAGGCAAGCAACTGAAGGCGATTTGATCAAGATTCCAACCAAGCTTTGACAGTAAACCTGGAGAATAACACAATGATCAGCAGATTGGAAGGCTTGCTCCAGCTTGGGAAAGAAATGGGACAAGGCTATATACTCTCCCATTATGTATTCAATCTATATGCTGAATATATATTAAAGGAAGATAGATTGGAGAATGAGGAGTGTGGTTTTGAAGTTGGACGAAGAAATATCAATAACCTGTGCTATCTGATGACACTCTCAGGTACTGTAATTCTTGCCCATACATTTATTTAATACATTTGTTCAAAGTTACAACGGCACTGAACAAGGGTACTCCTTATACCGTGTTTCCCCAAAAGTAAACCCACCCCCAAAAGTAAGCCCCAGCTGATTTTTTGGGGGCCCGGCCCGGCCCTAATATAATCCCCCCTGAAAATAAGCCCTACTTAAGGGCCTGCACGGACAGCAAAGCCAATGGGGGAGGGGGGATCCGGTATACATCCGCCCGGCTTGTTCCATGGCCTCATGGCAGTGGCATTGGGCGCGATGTGCGAGGTGGCAAACGGCCAGCTTTGGCATGATGTGGCTGTTTGCCGCCGTCCGCAGCTGTTTGCCACCTCGTGCGTCACACCCAATGCAACTCGCAAAGTTGGAATTGATTGATTGACCTTCCCCCCCCCCCAAAAAACTTCATTTCCTTGAACACGGCGGCGGATTGCGAAGGAGAAACGGCATGGGGTTGGGAGTCAGGTAAGGAAAGAAAGGCAATTTCTGGGGGGAGCGAGGATTTCTTTCCTTATCTGCCCCACTTGTTCCGAGGCCATTTTTCACTCAGCCACGTTGCTCTTGCCAATGGCCCGACCGCCCACTTCAGCACCTTCCCTCCCCGAGCCTCCGGCATTCCACCTGCTGCTTTGGTTGATCTGCCAGGCCCCACCTCAATGCCCTGCTCATCGCTGCCCCGGGGCTGCACTTGCACGGGAAGGGCACGCACCCCCCCTCCCGCCACCGTGCAGGGTAAGGTTGCTGCGCCCGCCCAGATGCCCTCATCTCCCCCAAGCGTTTTTTTTTTACTAACCTGTGTTTCAGCTGCATTCCGTTTCTCCGTTCGCTTTTCAGCCTTCACCGCATGTTTGTGGGACTATCGGACTATCTTGAGATCTCGTGAGAAGTTAGAAAGTCTGATTGAACTTTTTTTTTTTGTCCCACAAATACGCGGCGAAGGCTGATAAGCGAACGGAGAAACGAAATGCAGCTGAAAGGCAGGTTAGTAAAAAAACGCTTGAGGCAAGGGCATCTGAGCGGGGGCAGGTGTGGCAACCTTACCCTGTGCAACTTTGGCAGGTGTCTGGCAGGGGGAGGGAAGCAACTGGTCCACCACCATGCTAGCACCGCCATATTGCTTCTCCACCCCATGCACAGGCCCCGCCCCACCCCTGCATGTTCGCGGCCTACTGGTGCCGGTACCGGCAAAAAGTAAGCCCTCCCCAAAAGTAAAACACTGCTTACTTCAGAGCCCAAAAGAAAGTAAGACAGTGTCTTACTTTGGGGAAAACATGGTAGTTGCAGCTACTGCAGCATTCTCAAAGTCACATGATCTCACTTCCGGCACTTGGTGACCAACTTAAAATTAAAACATTGCAGAGTCCTGTCATGCCTCCGTCCGAGCCTGACTCTGAGGAAGACATGGAGTTCCCTGTTGAGGCCCAGGAGGGGGTGTCTGTGGCTTCAAAGGACTGTGGGGAGGAGCAGGCTGAGGCAAGCCAGGGCCCTTCAGGTTTGGAACAGGGAAGGTAGAGTTCAGGCGAGGAGCAAGGCCCCTCCCCACCTGATCCTAGAGCAAGGAGAGCAGAGAGGAGGAGGGAACAACGGAGGCAGGCTCACTTGCTTGCGTCCCACCCCACTCCACAAGGCACACCTGGGGAGTAGGATTTAAGGAGACGCTGTGGGGTGGGGCATTTGCCGGGAACAAATGTGAAATCTTGAGCTAGTGTGCTCTTGTAACCTGGACACTTTGTATTCTGGACCAGTTTGCTTCCTGCTGATCTCTCCTTGCAGTCTGCAGTCCGCAGTTCACAGGCAAGCTGGGAGTTAAAAGGATTATACGTTTGCTTGTTATCTGTCTTGCTTTAAGAACAGTGTAAACTTCCCTGGCTGTTTTGTTTGAACTCGTGCCAGCATATGTGGGGGCTGTTGGGTGAACATTAGCAGTGATTAAAAGGACTATTGCTCTGGCCAACTGATTGCTTTGCCTCCGTTTGGGGCCCTGGGTCATCACAGTCCCTTGATTATATGACCACCATTTGTGACCTTCTCTGTCAGCTTCCTACAAGCAAAGTTAATGGGAAAGCTGGCAAGAGATTGCAGATGGGAATTACACGGCTGTGGGATGCTTTGACCACACAGGATTTGCTTAATGATGCCAACAGGAACCGCTAGAACTGCCATCATAAGTTGCCACAACCATGTGAGTTCCTGGTTCCAATTATCATCAGTGAGGATTCCTCGTATTATAAACTGCAATGGATGTGAAAGCTCTGATAAAATAGAATAATAGTTAATAAAAGTAATAAAAGTTAAGGAGCAAAATGAAGAAAAAAAATGGGACTAACATTAAATAGAATGAAGATCAAACTAATGACAACCGGTAGAACACCCAGCCTTAAAATTAACAATAGACATGTGGAAGAGGTTGTGTCTTTTAGGATCAACCAACAAGATTAAAGCAACAAGCAGTCAAGAAATACTATATGTTGAAGGCTTGGAAAAGATTTTGGCTGGATAGCAGCCCTCTTTTTCTTTTCTTCAAAAAAAACCCAAAAGAAAAACAGAAACCATTATAAGAACTAACAACATCTTCATAAACAAGCTGAGCCAAATATGGAGAGGCACTATTCCCAGTCATTTTCATTCTCACAAAGAAGAGGGAGTCAAGCTATTCTCCAAGGCGCCTGAAGGCAGGACGAGAAGCAACGGGTGGAAACT